TGTAACCAAAAGAATTCCCTTGTTCCTCTGTAACTTTACGTATCCTATTTACATCGGGCTATAAAAGGCAAGCACTCGCATTGTTCGGGGCCCTCTTGTATGCTGTGGAATGGAGGGACCAAGTTCGAACTTGCAGTGAAAGATCCTTGCCGCTTGGCTTTGACTCTGGACTCTGGTGGTCTTCTTTGGGGAACAAACGGTCTGGGCATTACACCAGCACTTTGGGAAGCTGAGGGAGGTGGATTACTGGAACCCAGGAGTTCTAGACCAGCCTGAGCAACATGGCGAAACTCTGTCTCTACAAAAAATACACACAAAAATTAGCCAGGTGTGGTGACGAGCTCCTATAGTCCCAGTTACTAGGGAGGCTGAGGTGGGAGGATCGCTTGAGCCCAGGAGGTCAAGACTACAGTGAGGTCAGCCTGGGCTGCAGAGTGAGACCTTGTTTAAAAGAGGGATAGAGAGAGAGCGCGCGCACCTAATTTCCCTAACAGGCCAGTCCAGTTACAATCTTCAACTGGTATGTTAATGAAGTTCTGTTTTTAGCCTTACAGCAAAAAGTAACCTGAACTCACCTGATGTAAACCAATCAGTTATCTTTCCATTGTTCTTGCCTTACCAGAAAAGTATTATAGCTTTGAAATGATAGATTTGCCTTTTGTTCTGTTTCTGCTTTCTTCAGCCCCTTTTCTGTGTATAAAGCCAAACTCCTCCGCTTCACTCATTGAACACTTATTCTATCTCATAAGATGAAATGTTGCCTGATTCTAGAATTGCAGTAGAGATAACTCAGATCTTTAAACCAAATGTGTCGTAATTTTGTCTTTGATAGTTCCCTCCCACACTGAGAAAGGCTGAGCTGTGTACCTGATAGACAGCTGTAGAAATGATGGAATTTGGCCCAGCGAGATGGCTCATGCCTGTAATCCCAGCACTTTGGGAGACCAAGACAGACAGGTGGATCATGTGAGGTCAAGAGTTTGAGACCAGCCTGGCTAACATGATGAAACTCTGTCTCTACTAAAAACACAAAAATGGGCTGAGCGTGGTGGCA